ACTACCCCCCAATCTAGTAGTCTCCCAATAATTCATGAAGGTTCGAGAAGGACGTGGCGTGATACTAGTCACGTGACCTCGCTGACGCAACAGTATCAATTAAGGATATGCTAACTGAATTTTATATTAATAAATGTATACAATTCCTATGTATTTAATTGAATCAATTACACCACTAATGAGATTAACTAAATTTCAATAGATTTCAGAAAAAAGAAGTTGTACATTGTTCTGTGAAGTCATTCTGTGTTCTGTTTATGAGAAATATGATGTAATTGTCCTGTTTAGAATTTGTGTAAAAGGAAGAGGATAATTGTTACCCCGTCAAGTATTTCTGTCTAAGAGGAAGAGGGTAATTGTTACCCCATCAAGTATTTGTGTCTAAGAGTAAGAGGATAATTGTTACCCCGTCAAGTATTTCTGTCTAAGAGGAAGAGGGTAATTGTTACCCCGTCAAGTATTTCTGTCTAAGAGGAAGAGGATAGTTGTTACCCCGTCAAGTATTTCTGTCTAAGAGGAAGAGGATAATTGTTACCCCGTCAAGTATTTCCATTTAAGAGTAAGAGGGTAATTGTTACCCCGTCAAGTATTTCCGTATAAGAGTAAGAGGATAATTGTTACCCCGTCAAGTATTTCTGTATAAGAGTAAGAGGGTAATTGTTACCCCGTCAAGTATTTCCGTCTAAGACGAAGAGAATAATTGTTACCCCGTCAAGTATTTCCATTTAAGACGAAGAGAATAATTGTTACCCCATCAAGTATTTCCGTCTAAGACGAAGAGGATAATTGTTACCCCGTCAAGTATTTCCGTCTAAGACGAAGAGGGGGGGTAACAATTATCCTCTTCGTCTTAGACGGAAATACTTGACGGGGTAACAATTACCCTCTTCGTCTTAGACGGAAATACTTGACGGGGTAACAATTATTCTCTTCGTCTTAGACGGAAATACTTGACAGGGTAACAATTACCCTCTTACTCTTATACAGAAATACTTGACGGGGTAACAATTATCCTCTTACTCTTATACGGAAATACTTGACGGGGTAACAATTACCCTCTTACTCTTAAATGGAAATACTTGACGGGGTAACAATTATCCTCTTCCTCTTAAATGGAAATACTTGACGGGGTAACAATTATCCTCTTCCTCTTAGACAGAAATACTTGACGGGGTAACAATTATCCTCTTCCTCTTAGACAGAAATACTTGACGGGGTAACAATTAATCAAGTATTTCCATTTAAGAGGAAGAGAATAATTGTTACCCCGTCAAGTATTTCTGTCTAAGACGAAGAGGATAATTGTTACCCCGTCAAGTATTTCCGTCTAAGACGAAGAGGGTAATTGTTACACCGTCAAGTATTTCCGTCTAAGACGAAGAGGGTAATTGTTACCCCGTCAAGTATTTCCGTCTAAGAGGAAGAGGGTAATTGTTACCCCGTCAAGTATTTCTGTATAAGAGGAAGAGGATATGTTTTGTCCGTTTAAGTATATTTGTGTAAGAGAAGAAGGGGAAAAGTATGTGTGTTGTATTTCCACTTCGGAGGAAGAGGGTATGTTTTATTGTGTTTCTGTTTGGGAGGAAGAGGATTTGTGTTGTCCTGTTTAGAAAGAAAAGGATATGTGTTGTTCTGTTTGTTTTTGTGCAGGAGAAAGGTAGCAGCTTGTTTTCTTTTCATCACACACAAACTTGTCAACTGATTCCTTAATTTTGTGGTTGCTATCTTCTACTTACACTGTGGTCTTATGGTACAGGAAATCTGTCAATTTAATCCTCAGTATTATCCTATCCAAAATTGACCATTTATACTAGTGTTTGAAAACCTGTAAACTTACTCATTAACTGTCTGATATTAACTGCTCTTTTTTATACTGTAGTGAGTGGGAGGTGAAATGTATTTAATCAGCTCTTTAATTGGATTGACCTTCAACAGCTATTGTGGGTTTTTAGAATTATTTTCTCACCAGTCCTGTTTAAAGATACTAACAATAACGTTATCTATAGCTTGATACTAAAGATATAAACTCCTTTTTGTACTAACATCCTCTCTTTCACAGTAAGTACTATGAGAAAGAAGCCCTTGTGAGTGACCCTGTTTCTGGACAAATATTAGCATCATTGTTAGGTGAGTTTTAAGTCGGAATCAGCAATTCACTATGTTTTTTGCACATGGGAAATATTTAAATGTCTTGCACCAGATAGCAGTATGTAGTGTTAAAGTATATGAGGGTGAGAATGAACAAATACTCGCAGGTTTAAGTGTGTTTTTTATGTGGTTCTTTTTTGAAGTGACATTTCATTGCTTCCCATACAAATATTTATTTATTTTCTTTAACACTACATTATATTCTCCCTTGTTTATAACTTTAACTTTATCAACTTTAGATGATTCTATCAATCAAATGGTTTGTTCACTTGTTCATGAAACCAGCGTCTCGCAGTTATCAGAAAAAACTTAGGCTTTTAAGTATAGTTTATTATTTTATTCTAATCATCAGAAACTAAATCTTTACTTGAAGGAAATGTGATTTTGATAATAAGAAACTGTATTGTACAGAGGATTGAGCATGATATATTAAAACTACTTTGAATATGTAAATCAGCAAGTCGCATGACAACCACAGCTGATACAAAGTCACAATGGAAAAGCATGTATCAGAACCAGGGCCACCGAGAGCCATTATGAACCCAGAGGAAGAATCCCCCTCCCCCTAATAGTTTTTAGAATGTTGCTGTGTACATTCATAAGTGTTTGGAGGCATGACTGCTGTTTGCTTAAATGTTCCATAATGATCTGATACATTCTGTACACATTTTTTGGCATCTCTCATGTGCCCTCCTGTGGGCAGTGGTTCTCCTGAGAAGTGTATACCAGTTTTCCCTCACTTTTTGTTTTGACACTGTTTGGAGTTTTGTAGGTAGTGTGATGTCACTGAAAACTGATTGCTTGTGTGAAGGGTACATAGCAGCCCTTTCCCGTACGTAATGTTCGTACGTCGGATTGTGAAAATGTGTTCCGATGGGGAATTTAGAGTTTAAAAGATGAGGATATCGATTATACTAAATAATATTGGAAAACAGAGGATTAACTTTGGGAACCAGGACCAGCCATAAAGAGACCTGCAACAAGTCATACACACTGTGGTAAGTAAGTATTAGGGTGTCTTATAACAGGCAACAGTATGCAACATAATGAAGAAGAATCTCCATGTGTAAACAAAGCTAACAGGGTATGGGTTCACCAAGATAAGGTATGTATCTCAAGCAGCTAGGCCCGGTATAGCCAGGTGGTTAGGGTGCTTAACAGGGTATGGGTTCACCAAGATAAGGTATGTATCTCAAGCAGCTAGGCCCGGCATAGCCAGGTGGTTAGGGTGCTTAACAGGGTATGGGTTCACCAAGATAAGGTATGTATCTCAAGCAGCTAGGCCCGGCATAGCCAGGTGCTTGACTCGCAGTCTGTGGGTCGTGGGTTCGAATCCCCGTCACACCAAACATGCCCGCCCTTTCAGCCGTGGGGGCATTATAACGTGATGGTCAATCTCACTATTCGTTGGTAAAAAGTAGCCCAATTGTTGGCGGTGGGTGGTGATAACTAGGTGCCTTCCCTCTAGCCTCACACTGCTAAATTATGGACGGCTAGCACAGATAGCCCTCTTGTTGCTTTGTGCAAAATCCATAATAAACAAACCTCAAGCAGCTGGAGAATAAAATTGGTACTTGTGTTATTCTATATGAAAACATACCGGTCAAATTGCTAGATTACTCAGCTGTAGATTTCTGTGCAATCGGACTGTTGAAACAGGCACTTAGAAACTGTCATCTTCCTATACTAGATATATTGGAAAGTCATCAGGGAGGAGTGTAGTGCTTTGTACATGAAATCCTTACAACTGAACCTTTTACGATAAAAACTATGCTGCAGGACTGTTGTTATGATGCAAAATTGTTAGATAAAGCATGACTGGACATTGTGACATGAATTGTAGCGACATATTGAAGCTCCAAAACCATTTTACTATAATATACTCAACCTTTGAAATATAAAGAAATAAGTTAAGGATATTATAACATAATACTTATTTCTCTGTGTTTTCAGTGGGTCCTTGTGCTCTTGACTATTCCAAAATGAAGACACAAGATCATTTCTGGACAGATCCACGTGCTGATGAACTAGTTCAAAGACACCGACTGTCAAGTGGACATCCTCTTGCTAACGGTTCTTCAACACCACCACCTAATCGACGACCAGGACTGCAGGTTCTAAACTGTTGCCTCACTTAGTTATTTAGAATCTTTACAAAGATTCAAAATATAATATTCTGAAGTTTTTTTTATCCCTATCTGCTTACGCTTTGGTAACCATTAAAAAGTCTGTAAAAAATATCAGACAACCTTATGTGTAATTCAACTTTTTTGTTCTTAAAAATATTTTATGCACCACTTGTTATGATTTTTTTTTTTCACTAGAAGTACCAGAATGATATTGATATAATGAATCTTATTTTTGGATCTGTACTAAAATTTTCTAAAGAAAAAGTAGAAAAACACAGCATAATTATTATAGCCTCGATCACTCACTTTCACTGTTTTCTTTCATGCTCCTGTTGAAAATATGATTTTTTTTGTATTGTTAGACTATGAGAAAGTCGTCATAATGTGTTTAAATCACTTCTGTAAATGTGAAATTTTGTGTAAGATGACCTTTTGACTGTAATCTGTCATGTAATATTGTAAGGTTTTAGCATACAGAGTGGTTCAAAGTTATCTTTCCTATTTCAAAATTTAATAATTAGTTAACTAAGAAAATACAACCATGCAGTTTTCAACATTTTGTAGCCCAACTCAAACAGTTTTTATAGTTATGTTTTTTTATCACTCCAGTGAGTAGTACTACCCTGTAAAATGGCAACCATGCAAGAAAAGGCTCAATGCATCGTTTGGCTTGCAAAGACCAAGTTGGTGACTGTGATTCAGTGTAATTACAGATGCCAATACAGTAAAGAAGTATGGGGGTATGTTAAGGATATAGCAAGCATCCTAAAGACTAGGATAACAGGCATCATTGCCACTGTAACTGTGGGAATGTTGCAGCAAACTCAGACTGAAATCAAACATTGGTTAAATGTGCACATGTTGCAGTCTACTGACATGAAGTATGCTTGTAATAGAGTTTAACCCTTTGAGTGCATAATTAAATTTTGGGTGGAATCTCAAAGTCTCAATTATCCACTAAACGTAATTTATAATTTGATCTTTTTTGGTATCTTTTTCCATATCAAAATCCACTAGTTGCAATTGTGCTCGCGAATGTATACAAGTGTAGTACTATATATATTAAAGGTGTGAGTATCCCAATTGTGGCACTGTGAAGAAAAGTGTTTGTGACACAATGAGGTAAATCCACTTGTTACACCAAACAACTATAAATGTCAAGTTCAATAAATCTGATTATAGCATCCAAAGTGTTAATGATGCACGTCGACTTTTTTCACAAGATGGCTGAAACTGGTAGTTAAATAACAGTCGATTATGATTGACTTTCAAAAATTGATTTATGGGGCTCTTTTATTTGAGTGTTTGACACGTATGTTTATTGTAGATTTGTATAAAATAAGAAGAATGCATTAAGGAAATATTAAATGTGTGTTTTGGTCATAGTTATTGCTTCCCAATCATTGGATCTCTGCTAGTTATGATGCTAGATAGAAAATTAAGTGTAGATTAAAGTAGAATTTAACAAGGCTTAATATATTAACTTCACAACATGTATATTCTGTAGTAGTTAGTTAGTTTACATTTTAATCTGTTTGCTTTAACTATGTACAGCACTTTTGTTGTACATGACAGTGTTATTTCTTATAAAATACAAAAGTTAGGTAGTGTATAAAGTATAATTTGTTGGTGCTTTTGTTTACAGTATAGAAAAGATGCAAGAACATCAGGTAGCTCGGAAAGTGAACATCGTGCCGTTCCTTATGTTGCTAGGGATTACGTGGAGTCTCTCCACCAGAACTCCCGATCTACACTTCTGTATGGGAAAAATAATGTTTTAGTGCAGCCGGTGAGTTGAGTCAAGAGTTAACAGAGTGAGAGAGAGAGAGAAAACTGATTGGTGGTCTATTTTTTCAAGCTGTTTATTTTTTACCAAATATTATCATGTGATAAAAATACGGTAATTTGTCCATCCTGTCAAAAGTTCAAAAGTTATATTGAAATATTGTCTCTAGTTCTGTCTTTACTTTGCTATCAGCTAGGATGATAGGTTGAGAAACTGTAAGTTTAATGTGATAACTAAAAGCCATTTTTCTAATGCATTTCGTTTGTATAAAACCCAGCAAGTCTCGTTATTCTATATCATTTATTGAGATAAATTTATTATGGGTTTCATTTTCTTAGTGTGCATTTTCCTAATCAACTGGGACAAGAAGAGTTAAGAAGCTCTTTGGTTGTTTTTATTAACGGTAAATAATAGAAAATATATTTTAGTTAAACAGTAAAAGATGGGGCTTTGAATATAACCCACTGGTTCTCAAATAATTTTTTTTAACTGTTTATGATGGTTGCAAACAACTTTGTTCTTCAGCGAGAAAATATTGAAG